AACTGCCATTCACGCTGCGACGTGGCGATCCTGGCTCTGTATCCGAAACATGTACTGGGATTCCGATGAAGGGCATGCAGAGCTCGAAAGTTATGCAAATGGACAATGGCAGAATTGCCAACTGGGGGACAATGATGTGGCCGTGGGATGTATCCATCCTGGGTTTGGCGCCGATATCATTGCCATTGAGGGTGATGTAGAAGAGGATTTTGAGCATGCGATCTCAGCTGGATCTGTATCGTTTGTGATGAAGGCAGGCAGAGTGTACAAGCAAGATGGAAATAGTTGTGTTTGAATAAATAGCTGTAGTCTGTTACACAATTTTGGGGAGTCAAGCAACTCGGATTGATAGGCCGCGTCGGGATTCTCGCGGTCCATTCATTGAAGCTTAGGACGCATCGGTTACAACACTCACACTTTGGATCTTGACCACCAAATACACGACCTAAGAAAGTACTTAACAGATACACGCTAATCATCTCCTTCGCATTCCTCTAGTCGTTTCAGTTTCATGGAGCCGTCCAACGGCTTCAGTTCCTCGGGCCAAGATTCTGCAGTATCGAGAGCACGGCGCATGAGCTGGGACAGACCAGCACCCCTACCCCACGACGCTATACAACACGAGTCCTTGACATGGGATCATGAAGAACCGATTCCTCGCACACGACAGCACCCAGATGGCCAGCCGCACGATAGACCGTTTAGGCATGAGGTGCACAGTCAAGCCTCGGATTTGGATAGTCCAATTTACCAAGCTGGAGAGCTCGACGATACAGTACATCTCACGAGTCAAAATACAGTATGGAGACGGTCGGCGCCGTACGAGCGCGATCTCGAGCTAAGGCGTCGCGGGGACCGCAACCGTGGCGATCAACGAGCTGGAGATGCACTAAAGGCCGTGGGCAAGAGCATTCGAAGAGCGAGCGTGCGCGTTGTAAATTTCCAGGCGAAGAATATGGACGACCGACCCGTGAAACTAGACGATGTGGACGAGTATCCAGACACTACGCTTAATGCGGTTCAGGAACAGCCCGGGCCACATTTGCGGGGCAAAACATTAGGCATTTTCGGACCCAAGAATCCAATTCGAGTTTTTATGCATAAAATGCTCTCATCACCGTTCGTGTTATCTTCGACGCTTATACAATGGGCCCCTGTGTTCGCTAACTTTGTCCTAGTTTCACAGAAGCAACCATTTTATTACTAATTATTATCAATGCTGTCATCCTCACCATCCAATCTGTTCGACAAGTTTTCCAACAAATTCAACCGGGTCCAGGTTACTTCCACTCATGGGAAGACCTTGTGCTATTAGGTCTTTTTGGCGCTTATACAATAGAAGCACTCTGTAGAATTGTGGTTTCGGGTCTCCTCGTCAACCCAGAGATACCTTTCAGTAGTCTGAGGGTACCTCTGAGCAACCTCAAACGGGAAGGCACCATTACCTCCAAACTCTCTAGCATCAAACCCCGTTTCGCCCACCGTACTGGGAGCGTCCGTACTCCGCAGACGCCACAGGGCAATGGATTCTCCGGAATGGACGAGAAGAAAACCGACTCGAACATCCGCAGCCACCCCCGACAGCCGACAACTTCTAGCGTCGGTCAATCAACTGCCAGCAGCCGGCTAGCTCTCCACCTTCAGTCTCACGATCTTCCCTTTCATGCTGCTCTATCTAAGCAAATGGACATTACATCTACCTCACGTCCATATTTACGACATTCCTGGAACCGCGTCGATGCTGTCGCTATTGTATCATTCTGGATCATGTTCCTTTTGTGCATATTTGGGAAGGAGAAGACTGCTACCGAGCATCTGTACCTATTTAGGGCTTTGAGCGTGCTGAGGACGACGAGGTTGTTGACCATTACGAGCGGCACGACCACCATCATGACCTCACTCAAGAGAGCAGCGCCACAGCTCGTCAACGTTGCATTCTTTGTGCTGTTTGCAATCATATTATTCTCGATCGTTGGTGTTCAGTCGTTCAAGGGGAGTTTTCGAAGGAGCTGCGTCGTTGGTAAGTGCTGCAATCACATGTGTAGGGCTTGCGCTGATATAAACTGTAGTGGAAAATGGAGAACGAACAATAGAGCTAGAACAACAATGTGGGGGGCATATAGATCCGAATACATTCGAGCCAGTCGGATACATCACGATGAAAAATGTCACAATGAAACCGAAAGGATTCATATGCCCCCTCGGACAGATTTGTTTGGTATGTAAAATTTTCAAGGATGAAATTGAAATCAAGCTGATTGGGTTTAATTCTAGGAATCACATACGAATCCACAAAATAACGCTGAACAATTCGACAACATTCTTACTGCATCATTACAAATTATTATCGTCGCATCTGCCAATGGCTGGTCTTCAACCATGTATTCCATGATGTCATCCGAGTATTTCATTTCCTGCATCTTCTTTATTCTATGCATCATCGTTCTCAACTTTTGGTTGTTGAATTTGTTCGTCGCTGTAATCACTCAGAGCTTTGGGGCCACAAGAGAGGAAACGAAGAGGAGTGCGTTTGGTGCTGAAGGGTAAGCATCTATTCCCGAACAAAGATCCTTTTTCTGATATCACGATTGTAGTGACCTCGTGCCTGTGTACGAGGACAAGGACGATGTTTGGGAGAGGGGCAGTGTAAAGCGTCGTCGCAAGTCTAACCCCTTGCAAGATTGGTATCGATACGTTAGGCCAGTCTTTGCACTCCTTGCATTGGCCAGCTTGACTCTCCAGGCTATCAAGACAACTAGAACGCCCCCAGATAGGATTCAACTCTTTCGTCAGTAATCTCGTTCTCTATTTCACCTGTCCCTCATATCTTCCTCTCGTTTAGTGCTGGTTGAAACTGGTATCACTATTGCATTCGGTTTCGAGATCCTTTGGAGAATCTTCGCCACCCTTCCAAATTGGCGTACATTCTTTTCAAAGAAGCACAATATGGTGGACCTATTCCTGGCCATAGTGTGTGGAGTTATCCTGGTTCCACCAATCCCCAACAC